AAAACCATTTAACTTTCTTAGCCCGTGGTTTCGAGTCATTCTTCTGGTTGTTATCATCTTTGAAAATGTTTTTCCTTTTCATATAATGCCTGTCGTGTGTGTCTTGTATTTCAATCGTCTCTTTTTTTCTGGCGTTTCGTTTTTCAACCTTTTCTTGATGTCTCTTCTCATTAAACTCTTTGGTTTTATTTTTCTTTAACCCCTTTTTCCGAGTCTTCAGTTGTTTTTGCATAACTCCTAACTTTCGGTTCACTTTTGGGGCTTTAATTTTCTCATTCAGTTTATTTGGTTTAGACATAACACCGCTGTATTCGACCGATTGTTCGGTCGATTCGTGTTCTGTTTGGTCACTCTGTCGACCATTCTTCTGATTGTCGGCGTTTCGGTTCATTCTATGCTTCTTCTTATTCAAAGCCACTTTGTTTTCAATGGAAAACTCAACGATTGGTCGCTTATCGGACGTAAAGATATTTGGATTGTTATTCAATTGTCTCAACGCTTTCAATGCGTGGATGTGTTCAGTGAAAGCAATGAAACCGAATCCTTTAGATTTCCCAAATTTCTGATCATTCTTATGTCGATCGCACATAACTCTCGCCTTCAATACAACAAAAATTGATTATAATTTTGTATTTGATTTGCAAACAAATGATAAAAACCTCAATAATTTGTGTTTTCTTGTCGTTAACTGCATTGAGAAAAATTTTTCTCAATTGTTTGTTATCGCAATTGTGTGGAAGATTATGAACGCAAAGACGAGTATCCGAAACAAAATAATGAGTGTTTTGAAGCATTTTTCGCTTTTTTGTTTCAAGCTTTTAATGTTAGAAAATTAAATAATTTAAGTCATATATAAGTTAATGAATTCTATATGAATACTGTATCGCAAAACTTACTGCTAATCTCTTTTTAAGATCGGTTTGAGAGACTCCTTCAGCGGCGGGTGATTCGGGATATATAAGCCCTTCTTTGGCTAAATACAGATTCCTTTTGTCGCGATT